TCAATGCCCAAGCTGATCCCAGACCTCCGGCAGCACAATTTAAGGCTGAGGGCTCTCCTGGGATCCTGCTATTTCTTTGATTCTTTCTGTTCTTTCCAGGCTGCAGGTGGCTTCCAAATTCATGCCGGTTTCCAGCTTGATCATCGGTGAGTGATGGGACCTGGCAGGGCTGGGCTGGGGGCAGGGACCCCCACCACAGTGCCAGGAAGGGAGTCCTGGATTGGAGATCATGGTAACAGGAAAGGGTGGGTGGGGAGAAGCCATGTGGGATGGGATGGAGCCCAGTTTTGAGGTGTTGCAGTGTTCATATCTCTTCCTTCCTTACCCCAGGGGTGGATTTGGTCCCCATCAAGCCAATTCCCAACGTGGTGACGCTGCAGGAGGACATCACCACTGAGAAGTGCCGCCAGGTAAGAACTTGTTTGCCCTGCTCCTCGTGTCACGTGCCAGTCTCGTAGGACCGTGGCAGGGGGCTGAGCCGAGCTGACGTGGGTGGGGGTGCTGCCTGTTGGTTCTTGCAGAGGGGTTAGTGGGACTAACGTCTGCCTCCATCCCTCAGGCCCTGCGCAAGGAGCTGCAGACGTGGAAGGTGGACGTAGTGCTGAACGACGGAGCGCCCAATGTGGGAGCTAGCTGGGTGCACGATGCCTATTCCCAAGGTGGGGCCCACCTGGGGCTGGCACGTGGCCTGGCACAGTCTGGAAGGGGGGTACAAGGGCAGGCACATCTCGTATCCCAGCAGGGCAGGGTGGCAGTGGTGTGCACTGTGGGACAGGGAGCTCGGTGATGGGATGGTGATGACTGCTTTTCTTCCCTTCTCCAGCCAACCTGACCCTCATGGCCCTGAAACTGGCCTGCGAATTCCTTTGCAAAGGCGGCTGGTTCATCACCAAGGTTTTTCGTTCGCGGGACTACCAGCCGCTCCTCTGGATCTTCCAGCAGTTCTTCCACAAGGTCCAGGCCACCAAGCCCCAAGCCTCCCGCAACGAGTCTGCTGAGATCTTCGTGGTGTGCCAGGGTGAGTAGGCGGGGGGACCTGCAGCTGCTGGGATGGGGCTGGGAGAAGCCTGCTGATGTCTCCGATTCCTCCATCCTAGGTTATCAGGCTCCAGACAAAATCGACAGCAAGTTCTTTGACCCAAAATATGCTTTCAAGGAGGTGGAGGTTCAGGCTAAGTCTGTTAGCGAGCTGGTCAGCAAAAAGAAGCCAAAGGTATGAGATTGCTTTGCTGGGCAGCAAACGCAGAATAGAGAGGCTGGATGTTGGGGTCAAAGTGATTGTAATAAGCAAAGTTGCTCGAAACGAAAGATCTGGGGATACAAAGTGGTGGAAGAGCCAGTTTTAGGGAAGTTTACAGCTTTAGGAGGAGGTGTAGTGAGGGGAATGCGGTTAAGAGGTGGTGAGGCTGGGGATGGATTGGTAAAATCCTCCCTACAGTGGCTGGCTGCTGGGTTTGTGTGTCTGCGAGGTGTCTTTAGGACACAGGACAGTAAAGGCCATGTGGCCCCAGCTAGGCATGGAACTGACACAAACCTCTGTCACTGTCACCTCCCTGAGTCTGAGGAGGGACTGGGAGATGCCACGGAGCTGGCAGGTTGTGACTGGTAACCTGTGCTCATCCCTAAGTCATGTGGGCATGTTTAGGTGGACACTGCAGCAGCACACGAGTCCTGTGACATCATTCATGCTTTAGGGATGGTAGAAACTGCTTCTGTGCCCTGCTGCAGCTCACACAGCTCCTTCCTCCTGCAGGCAGAAGGCTATGCAGATGGCGACACAACCCTCTACCACCGCTTCACGCTGATGGACTTCCTCAAGGCTCCCAATCCCGTGGACTTCCTCTCCAAGGCCAACGAGGTGAGTGCCTGAAGCAAGGGGGACCTTGGTGGCCATGGAGATGGCCCCAGGAGCACAGAGCAATGTAAAGAGAGATCCAGGCACCCTAGCAATGGCCCCATTCCAGTTCTTGTGGAGAGGAGGCAGGGCAGGAGCCTACCTGGAGTTTAGCCAGTTGTTCTCCTTGTATTTGAATATTCTTACCAAAGAAAGTGCCTTGACATACTCAATTAATTTCCCTCTTCTCTATCCAGATCACACTGGGGGACGGTGAGCTGGAGAATCACAGTTCCACCACGGAGGAGCTACGTCAGTGCTGCAAGGACATCCGTGTGCTGGGGCGCAAAGAGCTCAGGTACTGGAGGGGGACTGGGACAGGACGTTACCTACCTGACGGGTGTCTCTAACCGCCTGCCTTCCCGCACAGAGCCC